ATAGAGTCAAATACTTCTGCTCCAAACTGTGTCCTATCATACCCTCCTGTTAGCCTGCATCATCAGTGGTTTTCCCGCGTGTTTCTCGTTATGTCTGCGGAGGACATCGTCCAACATCAGCCCAATCCTTTTCTTGGCGGAGCTCATCTCCCCACCGCCGCACCCCTTCGTGAAGATCTTCCGCTCGCGCTCAGGCTCCTTCACCTCCACTTTTGGTCGCGGCTTTCTGGCCGGCAGCTTGAGCACACGCGTAGGAGCTGCTACCATGGGTGGGGGAGGAGGGGGTGGGGGGACTGCCCCCGCCCTGCCAGGGGGAGGGGGTGGGGGTGGTGTAGGTATGACCCCAGGGGGAGGGGGTGGTGCCATGGCGGCCATGGGTGGAGGGGGTGGTGGGAATGATGCGGCAGGCGGGGAGGGGAGGGATGGTTCAGGTGGAGGAGGAGGAGGAAAGTCTGCCTCTGGAGGAGGAGGAGGGAAGCTGAGGTCCTCAGGAGGAGGAGGAGAGGGGAGGGTACCGGGGGATGGGGGAGGAGGTAGTACTGTGGTGTCTGCAGGTGGAGATTTTGGTGTTGGTGGTTTTGTGCTGATGGCTACGGATGGAGGAGGTGGTGGCATCACTGACGCTGCGGATGGAGGAGGTGATGGCATTGCTGATGCTGCGGATGGAGGGATTCTGGCAGGTGGTGGTACTGATGAGGGGGATACTGGGGTAACAGGTGGCTTGGATGGTTGGGAAACTGGAGTGGGGGCCACTCTCGCTGGCGGGGCTTTTTCAACAGGCGATGGTAGTTTCGGGGCCTCAAATTCCTGTGCAAACTTGGGCGGTGGCAGTGCTCTTTCCACGGGACTAGCCTTGGGTGACGGTGGCTTTGGTGAAGGTGTTTTTGTCGCTGCAGTTGCCTCGAATGCCGCTGCAAACGCTCCTGTTGGCTGTGTAGGAGTGACTTGTGGCGGTACAGGTGATGTTACTGCTGCAGTTTGAGTCGGTGGCGGGCTGCGTTGTTTCGGAGTGGAAACTGCAGCAGGCGCCGCTTGAATGTCTTGGCTCACCGACGGCGTCTTGTTTTTAAGAGGCACCGGCGGCGGCACTTTTCTCGTCGGCGGCGGCGGCAGGGTTGCCTCGGAAATCACAGGTGGCGGCGTGACCTTCCCCTGCACGGGCGCGTAGACCTGCGACTGGGTCAAGTCCCGGGGTGGGGGGGCAGGGGGCGTCCTGATCCTGGGGGGTGGGGTCTGCGGTTTCTCCGGCGCTGCTTGGTGGTTGTTTGTAGGCGAGGACAGCTCGATGAACAGCTGGGACCTCTTTTTCTCTTTCGGAACCTCTGGTTGAATCTGAACTTCTTCCCTCGCCGTAGCGGCCGCTGCGTTGTTTCCCGTGATCTCGTCGTAAGAAGGCGGCTGACCGTAACAGTAATCCGGCGGGTGGTCCCGCTCGTCGAACGCGCTCTCAGACGCTTTCGCCTCCGCCTCTTTCCTCTTCTGGATCTCGTCGTAAGACGGGGGCCCGGCGTGCTCCTGCAGCGCGGGCTTGTGGTCTGTCGGGATGGGCACTTCCACGGAGAGCTCGCCCTTCTCCGTGATGGAGGCTGTGAGGGCCAGGGCGTCCACACCGGTCGGTAACGTGAACTCCCTGCTGAACTCCCGGCTGGCCTGCATGCCGCCGGCCGAGTCCTGCTGCTGCGTGCCGTGCACGATCAGCTTGTTGTCCAACGTTTTCACGTCGATGTCTCCGTAAGCGAAGTCTCTCAGGTTCAAGATCAGCTCGTACACACCTCTCTCGGGAACGGCAACGAACGTCCCCTCCACCGGCATCTGCGGCGCTTCCACGGCGCTGATTTCTCCGCCGCCGTCGTCCTCCAGCCGCTCGTGCAGCGCATCCTTGAACAGTTGTCCGAACGCGCTGGCGCCAAGCTTCGGCACGAGTTCGTTTCTCAGGCTGTCGAAGGCGTTCTGGAAGAAGTCGTCGCCGAACAAGTCGTCCTCCTTTTGAACGTCGCGCTGGAAAAAGTCGTCCCTGAAGAAATCGTCGTCCCGCTCGAAGAACCTATCGAAGAAGTCGTCGTCCAGAAGTCGCGACTGCAGCCTTGGCCGGCTGGACAGGGACGATCCGAACCCCCTGGACATGGCTGAGAATTTGGTCCACTATCTATGTCGGCGTGAAGAGACGAGACCCGTCCACAATGCAGAAGACGGTCTCCTGTAGATGTCCGGTTTTTGTGAAACGCCACGGACTTGGCCGCTTCGAGCAATGGAGCGGATTCCGGCAGTGGGAGAGGAGCCGATATTTCTAGAATGCAGACGAAAATAGAAGGGGCCTTGCTTTATTTGGCCATTGCGTACTGTACATAGGAGGGCGAAGTCAGGCCACAAATACCCTCTGCGCCATGGAGGCACAGTGGCATCTGGAGTATGTGGCAGCCACTGGGGGTGTATCATGTGTGCTTCACTGATAAACGTTTAATATTGGAGATGAACTGATGAAACGAAACTAACGTGAGCTTAGATAGCTGTGCTTGTCACGGTCTGTACATGTTGATGGCGATCTTTGTAGTTTTTTTTCTTAAGTCATAAAATTGTACTAAACTCAGTATGGAGAGTAACGACTACTAAGAACCAAGTGTGCAATGAGCATTAAGGGAAATGCTATTAGTACTTTGTCCGGTTTGAGCATCTTTTTCCTCAAACTGTATGATTCACTCAGTAGAATATAGTTTTAGTTACTCACGATCATCGGATATATCCTTTGTACTAAAAATAAAGGGCCTGCCAATTGCAGACATCAATGGAGTACTCCTGCAACGTCAGTGTGTGATATGATACAATTACACATCAGAGGATCATCTAACTACATACTATATATTTTCTTTGATGAGAAATCAAATCTATTGCTCAAATATCTCACAGCAAACTACGCAATGGGATGCACTTGGTACACTAGACGTTTGTGGAAATTTGCCAAAAGCTCAGTCAATCGCGACTCATTTCCACGATGTTTTTCTGAGAATTTGCAATGACAGTTGCGTGAAGCACGCCGATCGAGAACTTCGCATCCCCATTCGGCATCTGAAGCACGTGTTCGGCTCTGCGATAAATCAAACAACCATTCACACACGGTGATTCACAACGCTTCTCCCTGTCCTGGCCTCTACCGGGCACCGCGGATCGCTGGAAAAATAGCATGCCCGAAGCCAGGATTTTGAATGGGGGGTTCTTCCCACTGCTTGATCATGAGGGGACCGAAGGCGCGAGGTTCCTAGGGGGTCCGGGGGCATGCTCCTCCGGAAAATTTTGAAAAATGAACCTTCTAAAATGACATTTCGTGCATTTTTGAGAGGATTTCCAAGAAATAAGAGATAAATTTTTATTCAATCACAAAGGGAGCAGTTTTTCTACGATTCCAGTCCATCTTTTCAAGAAAAATCTTGGACCTTTACATAAAAAGTGGACCAAAAAGTGTGGACCTTTGAGCCTTGTGGGGGGGGGGGGTTCTTCCAACCCCCCCTGGCTACGGGCATGAATAGTTCGAATTGGCCAAAATAAGGGAATACCTGGGGAGTCGGCCGTGGGTCGCAAAATGTGCCCTCTCTTGCCGGCTGTTAAACTCCCGCGGCATACTATTCCCTTTATTTTGGCCAATTTCTAATCTCCAAGCAGATCTTTCGGTTGGGAAGACAGTGGCCAGCCTAATTGGCCAGTCTGGGACAATTTCCCACCCGGTGATATTGTTACAGACTGGCCATAACTGGATACTGTCTCCCCCACCGAAAGATCTGCTTGGAGATTGGCCAATTTTTACCATTTTCCTAGTCTCCACCAGACTTCTTTTGCGGGGTGAATAAATCGTAGAAATCGGCCTAAAAGGGTATTAATTGGCCAGAGAAGGTAGCTGGCCAGAGAAGCTCCATTTCCCCGCCGAGAAATCTGTGAGATCTCGGTATTCTACGATTTATTCACCCCGCAAAAGAAGTCTGGTGGAGACTACCATTTTCCAGCGATCCGCGGTGCCTGGTAGAGGCTATCCCTGTCCCTCAACATCAGAAGGCCAATGAATCACCCCGATGTTGAGAAGGGCGCAGCTGCGCGTTATAAACGTTTATGGAAGTCTGCGCCACCCAGTATTTGACCCTGTCCTTGGTACGATAGGAGTGAACCGAGGTCACGCCTCCAGAGATTGTAGCCTCCTTCGCAGACTTCTTGGGGTGGCGGGGGGGGGGTGGGTGATACGCACTTGTTTACAGTAACACGGCTAAGATTCTCTAATCACGGTAGCCTCTACCAGGCTTGAGGAGGCGGCTGGAAAGAGTAGAGAGATAAGCATGCCAAGGGAGTTTGGCCGTTGAGAGAACTCTATTTTGGCCGATTTCTACTCTTTCCAGCCGCCTCCTCAAGCCTGGTAGAGGCTATAATCACGGTGTCAGAGAGAGTTTTACCGTGGCCGCGGAGGGAGTCAGGCATCTGCTAGCGCGGGTGATACATTTCTGTGGAACAAGGCCTTCTCAAAAAAACAAAACAAAAAATTGAACCGCTGCCCCACTAGACGTCTGCAGAGGAGGCTAGCCGTGATGTGTTGTTCCGGCCTTGCCACGTCATTTCTCTGGATCGTTCTGATGACATCACTTCTGCCAGCGGGCGGATGTCTGCCCACGCTTTATAACGAAACTTTATTTGCAAAATCATGCCCGAAGGCTAATTGCTTTTACAATCAAGTATAATACTCATTGCAATACAGTAACAGGAGACAGGTAACAACTGTCTGGAAAAAACTTCTACTACTACGCTAGCTATTATGGGGTTCGACTAATCTCCAAGCAGATCTTTTGGTGGGGGTAAGACAGTATCAAATTGGCCAGTCTGTATCCATTTCCCCACCCCCACCAAAAGCAGATCTTTTGGTGGGGGTAAGACAGTATCAAATTGGCCAGTCTGTATCCATTTCCCCACCCTTGTTCATAAATTCCGCAAAAGCCAGCATGTGCCGGCTTGTCGTATACGTCACTAAGTACTGCCGCAAATTAACAATAACGATGATGATGAAATGGTTTATTGGGGATAAAAACACTGGCAGCCTTACATAGGCTGTGGTTCTTTATTTAACAATTCATTCATGTTAGACTCATTGACAACATAATACAAAATTAGTCCTGTGGTTTAGTAGCAGTTTTATTTTTGGCCGGAATTTTTTTTATTCTTGTTATCTTTTCATGTTTTGATGAATAAAAAAAAGTAGTCAAGACTGTTTAACTGCGCAAAAGCCAATTTCAAGATTGACTGGTTTTGGCTGGGCGTGCCCATCATCGTTATTTAACGTGCGCAAGGCAAGGCGCGGCCGATAAAGTTCATATTTCACCGATTTTGTCTTCCCTTAAAATCGCTTTACAAAAAAAATATCTAACCAAAAAGTTAGACGCTGCACGAAAGCCAAGCTTGTCTCTTATGTCCGAATCTTGAACTTGACGTTTTAAAGTAAGGTGGCGTACACGTGTGATTACGTCACATACCGAGTCCGGATTTCAAATTTCCCGCGCGCCGAATGTCAAAGGTCATCCCGGCGTCCCGTGCGCATGTGTAGGTGTATTTTCGTCGTTTTTGAACTCCAAGCGAACCGGCATATGCCTACTACTAGTATTTGCAGACCAGAGCACTTGTGGATTCACCCTGTGGACTTATTCGACAATCAAGACTAAGGTGACGACTACCTTTACTATATAATTTCCGTTCGCATCGTTTTAACTTCACGTTGCCCCAAGTAGAGTAAGAGTTACCGCCCCCCTCCCTCCCTCTCTGGGTTAGTGTGTGCGTCTGTGTGTGTGTGTCTGTAAACACAATAACTCGAGTAGGCTTGGACAGATTGTCTTGATATTTGGTAGAAAAGTTAATTTTAAGGCCTGTTTCTTGACAGTTCCGAGATGGGCAGGGTGCAGTGTATGACAACAATGACAATGTGATCAGTACAGTATACTGTAATATTAGTCTATTCCTAAAAAGTCTCTCCTAAAGAGACTCTGTTTACACAACCAAGTCTTTTATTCTACCAAAGTTTCGGTGACCGTCTGTCACCTAAGGCCTTCCTCAGGGCAATTCTGACTGGTTCAAATTGCCCTGAGGAAGGCCTTAGGTGACAGATGGTCACCGAAACTTTGGCAGAATAAAAGACTTGGTTGTGTAAAAAGAGTTTCTTTACTCAGTGTCTTACCAACCTGATGAAACTATTAATGGATAATATTCATCTTCAACACTTTCTTGACAGTTCTGAGATGGGCAGGCACAAGGACGACAGCGACTCGGATTCCAACGTCTCGAGCTCCTCAGGGTCCGACTCGGAGGAGGAGCAACTCAAGAAGAGCAAGAAGACGAAACAGGACACCCCGGCCAGCGTCAAGAAGGCGCTGAAGAGAGAGAAGAAACGCGAGAAGAAGAAGTCCAACAAGGAGAAAATCTCCATGGACGATTTTTACAGCCGCAACGCGGAGTTCAGGTCTGTATCTGTGTAGCCGGTATAACCGCCCTTCGGCGTAACACACCAGCTTCTGTATCTGTATAGCCGGTATAACCGCCCTTCTGCGTAACACACCAGCTTCTGTACTCAGTATCTGTATAGCCGGTATAACCGCCCATCTGCGTAACACACCAGCTTCTGTATCTGTATAGCCGGTATAACTGCCCTTCGGCGTAACACACCAGCTTCTGTATCTGTATAGCAGGTATAACCACTCTTCGGATAGCGATCCTGCCTCTGGACTAAGAGGTTGGGAGTTCGAATCCCGACTGTTGTCGCTCACCCAACATGCACGCTACTATTTAGGGTTGCAGTCCTTTTAAGCTGTGATCCACTGTTCACTGTGCTTGTTGAAAAGAGCTATGGGAATTTCCCTGGTGCAATAAACCTGTAAATACTGAACATAATGTCTGTCTTCTCTGTCACAACCAGTGGAAGATTAGCTCTTCAGTGAGCTACACTGGTTTGAGATCACGTTCACAATGCCCTTTAGTCTAGGTTTCTCTTCATTTCAGGTCATGGCTGCATGAGAAGAAGGGGAAATACTTCGACCAGCTGAAGTCTCCGCAGGCCAAGAAGCTGTTCAAGAAGTTTGTGAAGAAGTGGAACAAGAAGAAGCTGGACAAGAAGTACTACAAGGGGATGGACAACCTGGACACGAGCGCCTCGTCCAAGACGAACTACAAGTGGAAGTTTACGTCCACCCTGAGCAGTGCTGACTCGGACAGAGTGGCGGGCACGCGCTCCCAGGTTTGTTTGTTTGTTCGCGTATAATCAAAGAAATAAAATAAACATAACATAATCATAAACAAAAGGGTCGCAGGTTTGTTTGTTTGTTTATTGTTGTATCCACTACCTGAAACCTGACGAAAGGTAGTGGGTGCCACCTGAAACGTCTGAACGTTTCCAAATTCATGTCCAGTTGCTTGAGTAACTGTTTTTTGGCGTATCTCATTACCTGGATGTCTAACCTTCACCGACGAATATTTCAATAATGTTGTAAGTGCGAATGTGCTCCTAGGTTCGCAGCTGGAGCGGGAGCCAGGACGAACTTGACCAGCACAACGCGTCCGGCACCAGCGGGTTCTCTACGTTCGGAAAGTCTCCCGCGCCGGCCGAGAGAAGTTTCTCCAGTTTCTCCAGGTTCTTGAACACTACTCTGCCGTACTGTGTTAAGCTTTTGAATGGTGAAAAATGATTCACTTCATCAGTTTCACATATACAACCCTGCATATTATAACTTTAGACTATTTCTGTAATTTTAACTTGAAAGAAACATTCAATCAACTGTTTTTATATTGCATTATTGTATTTTTAACGTGTGGTAATTTTTAATGTAAACTAGATATGTAACGAATAGGTTTTTATCAAATGTAAAGAATCTTTATCAAATAGCTAATCTATAAGCGCATTTTGTGTTGTGTTTTAAAGCCTTCCCAACTCAGCCAAATATGGCTGCTTACAGGCTTTTGTGTACTTTTTGTAAGGCACAAATAAACCAGTCTCTCTCTCTCTTCTCCAGAACGCCGAGTCAGCATCAGGGCGGCGAGCGCCTGATCGGGCCGGTGATCGGACCCATGCCTCCTCCCCCACAGGTAGTGCTGCATATGCCTAAACCCAATTTTAGGTTCAGGTCCAGATTCAAGTCCAGAGGTTTAGGTTCAGTTCCGGACTTGTAAGTCCGGACCTAAACCCATGACGTATACATGTTGGCAACCTTGCAATGTTGTCTGGGTGAAACTTTGGCCACGTAACATGGACGCCAGTACTTGACGATGCCCGATGGCAATGGCGGAGACAATGTTTTCTTCATTTTGCAGCAAAGATTTTGCGATCTACGGAAGGTTTTAGGTGGTTTGGAAAGAAAAGGTGTATGTGAAATGGTCTTTTATGGTAATAAGTCTTGACTTTTAGGACTAAACATTCTTACAAGTCCGGATCCAAGTCCAGTGATCGGTCCCATGCCGCCCCCCCCCCCACAGGAATCCCCGACGGGCAGACCTGCAGTCCAGGCACACAAGCGGCCGTCGCCCGCCGCAAGCGCACCGGCACAGGACGAGTCCTACCTGATGGGCGGAGACAACTTCCTGGCCAAGATACAGGTACAGAATGTCCAGACTGTGCATGATGTACTAAAATTAAATGACTAATAAACTGGTGGTCGTATCAACCACTAAGTATCTGATACCAGCCCAGAAAAGAACAAGAAACAGTCATGCCTTCAAATATCAGAGTTATCAACCAAGAATTGAGGTATTCAAAAACTCGTATTTCCCCAGAAATATCATAGACTGGAACTCGTTGCCACCAAGCACAGTTGGGGCATCATCACTAGAAAGCTTTAAACAACTCCTGCAATCAAATGTGCAAAGGTCGAGTGTAACAAGTCGTTCGGTGTGATATAGCTAGCTGCTGCCGCGCGGCGTGCCAGCGAAGCTGGTGTGTTACACCGAAGATAAAGATACGGGGTTAGAAATACCAATCTGCTGTCTCGCCTGCGTGCCATCCTCCTTAGTCTCTGCTCGCTCCCTATTGTCGCTGGCTACCTGTCGGCCTTAGCTGCTCTTCCCAGAGGTCCAGTTGAGGGGGGGGGGGTTACGGGAACACAATAAATAAGTAAATAAAATTCGAATTACTACAAAAATAAATTACTAAATACCTAACATAATAATCACATCTTGTCCAAAAAAATCACAGTCCACAAATCAGTCCGCAAATCAAATTTCTCCACTACCGTATTCTTTGTTTGAAAGTTCTCACTGATGGAGCACACTGTGCATCCTCTGGTATGCTGTTCCAGATGGCACCCAGGCACTTTACAGAGAAATTTTCAATATTGCAGAATATTAGCCTGAGTGCTGTCCTCCATAGTAGCCAGCTACATTAGGGAGCCAGCGGAAACTTCGGAGGATGGCACCCAGGCTAGAAGACGATATAATTATAAGCAACCTGCAATTTTGCAGACTGAAAAAAATCAGGCCTATTGCATGTAAAATGTTTGCCAGCATGCAATGTCCTATGGGTTTTAGTGTTTGTTTGCAGAAAGTATTTCCGAATTGCAGAACAATATTTTGACATTATGCAATATTGCAGAACACTGAAAAAAAAGGTATTTCTCCCACTTCCGTCAGTGAAGGTTAGACATCTAGGTAATAAGATGTGCCAAAAGGTAGTGGACGCTACCTGAAACGTCTGACCATTTCCAAAATCATATCCAGTTGTTTGAGTACTGTTTTTTGGCGTATCTTTTATTAGTATGTTGTGTGGAAGGATGATATGTGGGTCTGATTACTAGCACATTTACAGGTAAGGTATGATTTTAGTTCTAGTAGCTTGTAGTGGGAGACAGCGGTGAAAGACCTTTAAAATGATAAATTCAGTCCATAGCATGGTGGATCTGGGTGGAGGTTCTAGACTCCTGTAGTTGTATTCAACCAGATATTTCTCCATGTGACTGTCAAATCTGGCCTTAAAGGTATTCACCAAATGTGCATTTACCATGCTAATATTGCACACTGAAAAGAAGTATTCAAACACGTTCAACCAGCACAAACAAAATCAGACTACCAAAACCAAAATCAAACTCTCAGAAAAAGTGCTTTATGTACAGGATGTCACAGTTGTGGAAAAACATAATTAGGCGGCAACTAGCAAAGTACTGGATTGTAAATAGTGAATTGTGTAAAGTTTGCCATGTACTGTTATTTTTGTACGTTTGTAATACATGTACGTAAATATGAATGTGTAGACCACAGGAAGAATAGCCTCTTAAGTCACACCAATTAAATTTCTTGGTTAACGGATTTTTCTAGAAAAATAATGGAGCGGGCGGGCGAAAAAAATAAAGATAAAAACAGGCCTAGGCATCGTATTATGGCCCAAAATGGTACGATAGGAGCCATGAAGTCAACACACCAGGCTGGTTCAAAATTTAAACAATGAATTTTGAACTTTTAATGATACCTCTGCATTGAAAGATGGAATGACTGTAACAACTAGGTAGAAAAGGACTGTTTTCAACTGTTCAGAGCAAAGTATGAGCATTTTGCAGTTGATTCTGAATTTTTATTTTTATTTTCAAATCAGAAAAAACGAAGCGGGCGAATCCGTTAACCAATAAATTAAATTGGTGTGGCCTGAAAAGAAGTATTTCTTCCACTGCAGGCCAAGAAAAGAAAGCTTGAGGAGAAGAGGCAGAAGCAGATCCAGGCTGCGTCTGAGAAAGTCCGCGAGCACCAGGCTAAGGAGAAGGAGAAGATGCAAGCTCTACTGGAGATGGCCCGCAGTAATCGCCATGAAAACTCACTCTGGAAGGACGCAAAGAAGTCTTAAAGATGCCACAACAAAACTTCACAGTTACATTGTTATTTGTATATAGAACTTGAGGCTGTAGTCAGTAAGGACGAAACTTGTAGGTTTGGAATTTTATGGCTCGCAGTAATCGCCACGAAAACTCACTCTGGAAGGACGCAAAGAAATCACAACAAAACTCAAGTTACATTGTACAGTCATATAGAACTTAAGGCTGAAGTTACACTACAACAGACCAGCAAATGGCTGGTTTCTTTACTGAAGTAGCCGGCCCACAAACTGTAAACTGGATGGCTAAACTCCCTTGGCGTGTTATATCTCTCTATTTGGCCAATTTCTACTATTTCCAGCCACGCCCTCAAGCCTGGTAGAGGCTATTACTGAAGTACAGTTTTAGCTTTCTGTCAGTAAGGACGAAACTTTTAGATAAGGAATGATGTTACACTACAACACAGACCTGTGCTATTCGCCATGATGAAAATGGCTGGTTTCTATATTGAAGTACATTTTTAAGTTTCCATGTGTTGCCAGTGCCAGATGATTTAGGACTCTGGCATGTTGTCTGTGATAAAGTCCAGATCATGTCATCAGTCATCAATGTTAGCTTTCTCTGACATTAGCTCAATTGGTAGAGTGCTTGCTTTGTAACCGGGAGGTCGTGAGTTCAAACCCCGGCCAGGTCATACCAAAGACTTAAAAAATGGTACACACTTCTTTCTCTGCTTAGCACTCAGCACATATGAGAAAGAATGTGGGAAGGTCAAACACACAGCACTACCAGTGGACCAGCCCCCTGCTGTAGTGCCCTGCACAACTGTGTGTCGCCCAAGGGCTACGGAAATGGACATGGGCACCAAACCCTTTATGCTTTGCATAGAGCACGAGAGACCTTTTCTGTCATTAAGGACGAAACTTGTAGATTTGGAATTTTTTGGCTCGGAGTAATCGCCACGAAAATGTACTTTGGAAGGACATAAAGAAATCTTGAAAAATACTGCCCAAAGATATCTTAAGTCACATTGAACTTGAGGCTGTCCAGTTACAATACAACACCGACTAATGCTGCAAAAACCTGGTTTCTACTGTAGAACAGATCTGATGATTTAGGACTCTTAGGGCACATTGTTCGTGATTTAGTTTGTTATAATTTTAGCTTTCAGTTCAAGCATGAAACTCAAGATATTTGGGATTTTAGACTGGCAAGGCAGGAAATGCTTCCTTGGGACATTGTCAACTGTTTCTACAAATATTGTGTTAATTGTACATGTACAGCTATGACTAGTGTATTTGTACTAGTGAAGTTACCCACGGTAGCTTACATGTAACGTTATATGCTGCAGGGGCTTTCTTCAGTTTATTCTGTTAACTTGGGAATGCAGTCTCAGTAGTTACCTAATGCCAAAGATGTATATAGCCTTCAGTTTATTTGAATGTTTGTAATATAATGTTATACTTACTACCGGTAGTACTTGTACTTGTATATCATGTAAATGTCCTAAAACTTTACTGGTAGGTTTGTCTAATACTGTACGATCAAACATATAATAAGTAACTACCATATGTGTGGCTGTTACATGCATTTCTGTGGTGCTTTGTTTGACCTGAGCCACAGTACAGATGATAATGTCATCCTTTTGTTAAAGTTAAAGGAAAGTTAACACCTATGTTTTGACAGAACCAAGATAGATGTATCCGGGATAGTTTGGCAATAGTAGCTTTGATTTGAGTTTTACCATTCCTGTTGCATCTAGAGTTTGGTTAGTTTGGTGAAGCTACGAACATCCTACTGTACCTTAGAAAATGACAGCAACCATGGTGCTCTGTGAATATCACTAAGCTCTTGAAAAGAAAGAAAGACAGAACTGAACTGGTTTTAGATTGTGTTTTACCAGATTTTCGTCAATATTTAATTTTAGTACAGTACAAGGATGTGCTATCTTGTTCTGGAGGTAAAAAGGCTTGTTGCAAAAGTAAAATCAACTTGCTCCAAATGCTAATAATTGAAGATCAATAATTCAAAATAAAACATCAAGTTGAAGCCTATTCCATCATCAGGTTGACAAGCACTTATTTGTGCACAAATACTTTCAACAAACATGTTGTACATGTCATTACATGGAACCATGTCAAATGTAGCAAGATTGCAGATAAGGCCACACCAATTTAATTTGTTGTTTCTCGGATTTTTTCAGAAAAAAATCAGGAGCGACAGGGCGAAAAAAAACAAAAAACAGGCCAAGGCATCCTATGATAGCCAGAAATGTTACAATATCAGCCATGAAGTGAACATACCAGGCTGGTTTATATTGAAAACAATAGATTTTGAACTTGTAATGAAACAAAATTGCCTTGTTACATTGAAAAACTTAAAAACTAGGAAGAACAGGACTTTTTTCAACCGTTGGGGCCAAAATATGTCTTTCATTGAGCATTTTGAAGTTAATTTAGAACCAAAAAAATTTTTTTTAGCATATTGGAAAAAAATGGACAGGGCGATCCGAGAAGCAACAAATTAAACTGGTGTGGCCTAAGAATGTCATGGTTGTTCATTCAGATGACAAATTCAGACTCTGTTTCTGAACCTTTTATTAAAATACAACACGAAAGTACAATCTCAATACCACTGGTTTCCCCGTACTTATTTTACAACACCTGCCTGAGTCATTCCTTGCTGATCCACTGCTTGCAAACGGTTGTCTGTGTTCTATTAACTTTCTTGTATGTAATAATCTGATCTCCCCAGTATAGTTACGAGACAATACCATATCTGAAAGGACCATTGTAGATATAGGCAAGTCAGTATTGTGGTATATGACCTGCATTAAACAGGGCTGATAGAAATATTACAAATGTTTCGATGTAATGAAATTGCTACAGTTCCACTACAGTACTTTCCACTTTGTTACATAAATAGTATGTAGCCTAGACCTTCACCTATGACTACTACATTGCAGTGTACAAAATACTTTTTTGAACGGCAAAAATTAGGTTGCCCATCAGAATTTTAGGTTGCCCCACCTATAATAATAAGTTACTACTTTCCTCAAATTAAGTCATGTTACATACATATACCTAGGATTTGACAATATTTCTAACAGCCTTTAGTTAACTGATACTAGTACATGTAATAGTCATTGATACCTAAAATTAAAAAGCATCTGCGGGATATTGTGGTGCAAGCCAAGTGGGCATGACTTTTTTTTGGGGGGGGGGGTTCTTAAAATTCAGGTAGCTAGGTTCAAAAATAGGTTGCCCCAAGTAGAATTTGGTTGCCCGGGGCAACCAGGTATTTTACACGCTGCATTGTATCAAAACTCATACCCATTGAACTGCACATATCAATTGACCAGCACCTGTGCATGAAAGTTTATCATGGCACTAAGGCCATACCAATTTAATTTCTTGGTTAACGGATTCGCCCGCTTCATTTTTTTCTGATTTGCAAATAAAAATTCAGAATCAACTGCAAAATGCTCATATTTTGCCATAGTTACATATATTAGTTACTTTGTCCTGTATTATGTAGATGTAGATGTAGATAGTTGTCATTCGCTGATGTCAAAATCACTATTTTACAACTAGTATTGTTTCCTGACATGTAGATATATGAGAATGGCGTCATGTGCGCTTCTTCCTGGCCCTGAGCATCTCTTGTTCCAGGAGGAGTTTCGTGTCGACATCTCTGTCCTGGTACCGCTGGTCGCTGCCGGCCGGCTCCAGGTACCACAGTCCCACTACCATCAGCACCAGCGACACTCCTGGGCAGGTAGGGCATATTTGCATATCAATCAATAGTTCATGCTTACAAACCTGCCTTTCTGACAATTCTCCAGTGTCACTGACGAAACGTCTAACCTTTTCCGTTCACATCCAGTTGCCTGAGTAGCTGTTTTTTGGCGTATCTTATTACCTTAGCCTGACTAATCGCGCTCCTGGCGGCCGGCCGCCCCAAAGTTGCCACATCTTGGGGTAGGGGTCATTAACCTCTGGCCGAGAGCTTGTGTAACACAGGCTATTATTACCTGGATGTCTAACCTTCACATACATATTAGGACATACATCAAGCAAGATCAACTACAGTCAGCAGAAAAGCAACCATCCATTTTAGATGAAAAGCAACATTGGGTGACCTGTGTATCGTTGCAATTTCAATAAAAAAAAACAAAAGCTCTGGACAACATATACATGTACGAGAAAATCATTGTATATGTACTAACCTGATTGTAACACAATATCGAAGACATATACTAGCCTTTATAGTAATTTGGATGTTAAGTTATATTCTATACATCTTATAGATTATACATGTACCATAACCTATTCCATGTTTGTCTTTATCAAGTAGGTTGAATTCACAGCCTAGAAGATGTTTCCGATTTTCTGAAGAATCCCATGATGAACATTTACCTGAAACTATGATGGGGGTGATGACGCCGATGTCAAGAGCGGCTGTCTGGTACACGAATGTCTCCAGTAGGAAGTGGCCGAGGGCAAGAACAAAGGACGACATGGTGATGTAGTAAAGCCTGCAGAACAGCAAAGGTGAACATCCTGCGTGATAAGGCCACACCAATTTAATTTTATGGATGACATCCTCTGAAGACCCCCAAACTAGTGCGCGCGGGCGAATAAAAAAAAATTCAGGCCAAAAATAAAAATGCTATTAAACCACAGGAATACAAAGCTGGTATTGTGAATTCGCGGAAGTACTTAACGACATATACGGCAAGCTGGCACATGCTGACTTTTTGCGGAATTTATGAATCGGCACTGTACATATGTACTGAGTTCTTGAGTCGACGATCGTGAAGCTTCGAATTCGATAGCCTGAGTGCTCGCCTCCGTATTGTCGCTAACTACCATGGACTACCCAGGCCTAGAGCCAAGCCAGAGCCTCGGAAGACGTAATTTTTTTTTTTTTTTACTTTAGGCCGACAGGCGAAAATCAATGCGCGCGTGGATGTCATCCATAAAATTAAGTCGGTGTGGCCTAACTGCATATTGTGCATAGATTTTAATTGTGTAATCGTCTTCGAATATGTCTTAAGTGTATTTGCCTATGTTGTTTCATGTGTACAATGAAGAGTGTCACAAATCATTATTTTAATGCTCTATGTACTATGTAATAAGGCCACACCAATTTAATTTCTTGGTTAACGGATTTTTCTAGAAAAATAATGGAGCGGGCGGGCGAAAAAAAAATAAAAATAAAAACAGGCCTAGGCATGCTATTATGACCCAAAATGGTACGGTATAGGAGCCATGAAGTCAACACACCAGGCTGGTTCAAAATTTGAACAATGAATTTTGAACTTTTAATGATACCATTGCATTGAAAGATGGAATAACTGTAACAACTAGGATGAAAAGGACTGTTTTCAACTGTTCAGGGCAAAATATGAGCATTTTGCAGTCGATTCTGAATTTTTATTTTTATTTGCAAATCAGAAAAAAAATGAAGCGGGCGAATCCGTTAACCAACAAATTAAATTGGTGTGGCCTAAGGACGAAATTCGGGTATTTGCCCGCGAGAACCTTACCGAATAAAATTTGACTTGATTGATTAAAAAGATGGTAACATCCGTGTCCATAATATCACCAGGGTCCATAATATCGCCACCTTGAGAAATAGTGTGCTTTAAGATATTTTTACTGCAACATACCCTAGTTATGTACATTTGAGGTGTGCAGGAGTGCATACCAAAAGTATGTTGCAGTAAAAATATCTTAAAGCACACTATTTCTCAAGGTGGCGATATTATGGACCCTGGTGATATTATGGACACGGATGTTAAGTCATGTCATCCACACATTGCTGCTAGTTTTATGATTGACTTTTATTCAGGCTTTAGTTCCCTTACATTGTATTGCTTTCTAGTGTATATTGAACTGTACAATCGTAGTAGTTTAACTACTAGTAGTTTAATTGTAACTGTATAATTTATTCCTTTTATTGCAGGATACGCTCTTCATCCAAGATTTTAATTTACTTACTAGTATCTTGTATTACGCCTGTACTAAGCCTTTACCAGCTGAATCTGCCCGTGTAATGACTTGTATCATTGCCAGCAGATGCCAAATATTACAGGAAAAACAGACGGCAGAAATGCAGAATTTGGAAGGGTGACCTCCAGTCTTATTGCAGAGCCAATAGAGTGGTCATTTGGTGGAATAATCGTCCAGTTTGACTGGACAAACACGTGAAACAGAAGCAACTGATGTACAACGACAGAGTTCTAGACCATCCCCTGAAAGCCTGGGATGTCAGTGCATTGAAAGGAAAGAGCAGCCTAAGGCCACACCAATTTAATTTCTTGGTTAACGGATTCGCCCGCTTCATTTTTTTCTCATTTGCAAATAAAAATAAAAATTCTGAATCAACTGCAAAATGCTCATATTTTGCCCTGAACAGTTGAAAACAGTCCTTTTCATCCCAGTTGTTGAAGTTATTCTATCTTTCAATGCAACGGTATCATTAAAAGTTCAAAATTCATTGTTTAAATTTTGAACCAGCCTGGTGTGTTGACTTCATGGCTCCTATCGTACCATTTTGGGCCAAAATAGGATGCCTAGGCCTGTTTTTATTTTATTTTTTTTCGCCCGCCCGCTCCATTATTTTTCTAAGAAAATCCGTTAACCGAGAAATTAAATTGGTGTGGCCTAAACTGGAACTGCAAAGGCTGTTCCTACCCGGCCAAAGGAATCTATTCTAATCTATACTTACGATTTGTTGGTGATGTCTAGAGCACAGTACAGCCTGACTACAGCAGCCAGCAGAGTCCACATGCCAAACAGTCGCGCCTGCAGTCCGTTTACTTCAGGACAGAGCATCGTATAGGTAAGTTTTTATTACATGCAATCTTCTATGTAAATGCTAAAAAAAATTGGGACGTAGCCTAATTATGTCTTATGGCACGTTTGGGATCAACTTTTACAAGCTAGGGGTTAACACATTTTATATATAAACGTTACTCAGCAAAAAACATTACCATCACACATACTAACGTTCTTGCTATGAAAAATAAAACATGCTTCAGTCATACTTTTTGCCAATACATAGCAAATGAGTTTCAGATTCAGTGTGTATATTCAATTGTAGGAATAATTTGCTCCCATTTATTATTGATATGCATCATTCCGCCTTGAACAATGAGTGTAGCACTCAATGTCTGATGTTGTGGCCATGTGCAGCATCTAGTGTGGCTATATACCATTAACCACTACAATAATGGTCTGCATAACTGGTGCAATACCTCAATTGGATAGAGTGCTTTGTAACCGGGAGGTCGTGAGTTCAAACCCCGGCCGGGTCATACCACAGACTTTAAAAAAGGTAAATACATGTACTGCTTTCTCTGCATCTATGAGAAAGAGTATGGGAAAGTCAAAAACACCACACTACCGGCAGGCTAGCCCCCTGCTGTAGTGCTTGCACAACTGTGTGGCCCAAGGGCTACAGAAATGGAGATGGGCACCACCACTATGCTCTGTACACGGGACTACAACAATAATAGCCACATAGAGAATGGCAAGTTACCGAGCTCAGGTGTCCCTGTGTAGAGTCGCTCGGCCAGGAAGTCGTGGTTCCTGAAGCACTGCAGAGTGTTGCCGAACGCCATGACTGCCACCACAGCCAACCAGCCGCGTAGAGTGGCCAACATCTGGACAGGAGTCAAAGTTACAGTTCTGTATCGGTATAGCCTGTAAAACCGCCCTTCGGCGTAACACACCAGCTTCGCAGGCACGCGGCGCGGCAGCAGCTGGCTATATCACACCGAACGGCTTGTTACGCTCAATCTTTGCACATTTGATTGCAGGAGTTGTTTAAAGTTTTCTAGTGATGATGCCCCAACTGTTCTTGGTAGCAACGAGTTCCAGTCTACGATAGTTCTGGGGAAATACGAGTTTTTGAATACCTCAATTCTTGGTTGATAACTCTGATATTTGAAGTTTTATTAGTCTCCACCAGACTCCTTTGCAGGCTGAATCATGAATGAATTGTAGAAATTTGCCTAAAAAGAATGTAGCTGGCCAGGGGAGTTGGCCGGCTATAGAGGGTCCGGTTTGCCTGCTGGTATGTGTAATAAAAGTTAGTAACTCAAGAACTGAAGTTTAATGCTGGCAATGAGTTTGAGTAATCAAAAGGAAAATGTTCTCTATATCATAAAGTCTACCCGGTGCTGTGAAATTGGCTTAGGCGTCATGGCCCTGTCCTTGGTGCTGAATGACATTCACAGTAACGGCCGTTAATACTAGTACATGTACTACTATTAACTACTAGTAGTGTTTCCAGATCCAAAGACGCAAGGATTGACTTCGCCCATATAATCTATATGGCTGAATAATATTATATTTATCCGTTATTTATTTAACGTTATCTATTTATTTAATCTTCAGACAGCTGGGTAGACCATTCAATTTGACACATAACTCCACGCTACAGCTTCTGTATTCTCAATATTTCAAGCAAAATTGGAACACGGTGCTATTGCTAACGTTACGTGTATAACGTTAAACTGGCCAAATTGCCATTTTACAACATAGTACCTTTGGACGACAAACGTGCATGTTGAAATGTGAGATCTTGATCACTAAAAACATGGGACTACAGGTCCTAAATTTTTCATGTATAAAATGCAATCAAGACACTTTGTAACACTGACATCATACGCAGTGTCAGGGTATACCAATGCAACAAACGGTCTTTAAGTATCTCACCTTGTCCTGAGTGATCTTGTAGCGTTCGAGTCAAACATGGGTCTACATCTGTGTCCACCAGGGTCCATAATATCACCAGGGTCCATAATATCGCCACCTTGAGAAATAGTGTGCTTAAAGATATTTTTACTGCAACAAACCCTTAAGTATGTACATTTGATGTGTGAAGGAGTGTGCATACCAAAAGTATGTTGCAGTAAAAATATCTTTACGCCGTGGCTATATACACTCCCGGTGTGTATATAAAAGACAAATAGATTTTATATACACTCCGAAATACTAGCCTCCTTGGTAGGCCCAAAACTTGGGTTTTTGTGAGTGTTTGAGGATTCAGGGGCACCAAGTTTAAACCTCGGTCTTCAAGTTTATCTTATTGGATGATGAAAATCAGAAAACAACACGGAAATCTCCACCGAAGTTCGGTCGAGCGGACCGCCCCGCCCCGCTTGCGCGGGGCCCGGGACCCTCCGCTCCCGGCGGCGGCGGCGAGACCGGTCGCGCGCCCCTGGCGTCCTCGCTACCTGGTTGATCCTGCCAGTAGTCATAGGCTTGTCTCAAAGTTTAAGCCATGCACGTGCAAGTTTAAACTGTCTCAGTGAAACTGCGAATGGCTCATTAAATCAGTTATGGTTCCTTTGATCGTCACATCCTACATGGATAACTGTGGTAATTCTAGAGCTAATACATGCGGAAGAAGCGCCGACCTCACGGTCTGGCGTGCATTTATCAGACCAAGACCAACCCGGGGTTCGCCCCGGTCCCTTTGGTGACTCCGGATAACACAGCCGATCGCGCGGTCTTCGCACCGGCGACAGATCATTCGAATGCCCTATCAACTTTCCGGGAGTGTATATAAAAGACAAATAGATCTTATATACACACCCGGAGTGTATATAAAAGACAAATAGATTTTATATACACTCCCGGAGTGTATATAAAAGACAAATAGATTTTATATACACTCCCGGAGTGTATATAAAAGACAAATAGATTTTATATACACTCCGGGAGTGTATATAAAAGACAAATAGATTTTATATAACGTTACACTCCGGGAGTGTATATAGCCACGTTCATATCTTTAAGCACACTGTTTCTCAAGGTGGCGATATTAATTATTATGGACCCTGGTGATATTATGGACACAGATGTAACTTACACTAGTTACAGGTCCCAAACGTAACGTATAAAACGCTATCAATATTCGATGTAACAGTGACAACACTAATATGATAATTTTAGCTGTCTTAGGGAACTCTGAGGGAATGCAAATGCAACAAACTGTCCGAGTATCTCACCTTGTCCCTGAGTGATCTTGTAGCGTTCCAGTCAAATATTAGAAAGACGTCCCCGGTCACAGACTAGCCCAGCTGATCAGACCTGTTCACAACCTTAGCGGGAACTACTTTTCCGAACAATATCGAACTTTTGAAAAGGATACGAAAACGTAACGTTGAATGAAGAATGCACTTCAAAATAAGTCATTTGAATCAAGAGCAATTCCTTTCCGTGAAAGAGTGGATGGATACAAAGTTATAAGAACTGTGTGAGCCCCGTGCGGAGTGATATAGTGACGTACACCACACCACCATCGTACGTTCACTTCCGGGTTTTGGGACGACACATTTCTTCATGTGGGGGTGGCTAGCTTCAACAACTTTTCTGTTCACTAAATATTTTTACTGATATATAATTTTAAATCAAATAGTGTAGAAATTAAACATTGAATAAAATCTTAACTTAATCAAAATGTACAATTTCGTCCTTATTATATGTGATTTTGAGTAGTAAAGAAACTTACCACCCCCCAAACTGAGAGTGGTGTCATGTTACCTTCCATGGCAACAAATAAACCTTTGGCTTCGCTTTGAAGTTTGAGTTACTTGACTCGCGCTCGCAACTGAAACTACTGACTGCAGTGACAGGTAACGCTAATGTCCTATATGGTCTAACATCCGTGTCCATAATATCACCAGGGTCCATAATATCGCCACCTTGAGAAACAGTGTGCTTGAAGATATTTTTACCGCAGCATACCCATATAACGTTACCCTAGGTATGTTAACGTTACATTTGATGTGTGAAGGAGTGCATACCAAACGTATGTTGCAGTAAAAATATCTTACAGCACACTATTTCTCAAGGTGGCGATATTATGGACCCTGGTGATATTATGGACACGGATGTCCCAATGTAACATCGTTTTTTCTGACAGTGAGTTGTTAGCGCCTCAAAACTTAACCTGGGTCATACCGGTCAGTGGTTGAAGTGGTTTGTTTACATTTTGCCATCGTAGTTTCGTTGGACTGAACATGCATTAAAAACGGAAAAATTAGAAGTGGAAGGCGGTATATGCTAGTAATATGATCGTGCCATTTTTAATTGAGATAATAGCACTTGACAAGCTACTCTTAAATGAATGTTTAACGTTACATATATTATATAAGTAACTTGTTACTACAAGTTGATATTTCAGCATTACATGATTAAATCACTGACCAGGTGATTTTGCTGACATTACAAAGACTCAGTCTGAAACCTTCTAACATAATTGTTACAGGCCAATGAAGTGCAGCTCGTGACCCAACTGTTCCTGGAACCTGCCGGCTATCCTTAGCCCTTTCCCGGTACATCGAGAGTCACGCGCACCGATTCGACATGTTCTCCTAGAAACACTTCCAGCATCACCCAAGCACATTAGGCATCAAGAGTTAATTACCTAGAGAGACAACTGACTCTGAACTGAACCGAGCGTAAACCAGCTGACCAAGAGAGCGAGCTCTAGCGAGATATGAGACGTTAAACAAGAACAAGAACAACAACAACTATCAACTTTGTGACCTCACCATGGCCCTGACCTCGGGCATGGCCGATGAGAAGAAGCCAAACCTGACGTCTCCGAGATGTGCGATCATCGGCAATCCCGACCAATCGCAGGCCGAGGAAGAGGAGGAGGTTGGTGAGGAGAACGGGGTTCTCTTCTACGTCAACAAGAGCGGGTTTCCGCTGAACGACAAGACCTGGGAGAGGATGTGGCACCACGTCGCCAAAATCCACCCCGACGGCAACAAAATGGTCACAGAAATTAGGAACAGCAAAGAACTACCCAGAGTAAGTATTTATCTAAATTGGTCAGGTGACTGGTGCAACATAGCCTGGATTCCAGACCTATAGCAGTCACTGGGCCCGAAGTTAGCCATGGGGGGTGTGGTATAATTTCCTTGTTGTTGGCCCAAGAGCTGAGGAACTGGCATGTGTTGGCCCTAGAAACAGTCTGGCATCCAGGCTATATGTAGGTACAAAATGCCATAAATAGAAGTTCTTGATACTTGACTCTCTTATAAAAGTGTTTTTTTTTTTTTTAATAGACAATTAACGTTAAACTTAAAGGTACTCTAAGGTAGGTAGGATATACATGTAGCCTGGATGTCAGACCCATAGCGCTCTAGGCTCAAAGTTAGCTGGCCTATATTATAACTGAGGGGGCTGTGGTGTAATTTCCTTGGGGCATGTTCGCCCTGGAACTGAGGAACTGGCCTGTGTAGGCCACTAATTGCCTCAGGAAACTGTCTGGCATCCAGGCTACATGCAGGTTGTACAAAAAGGTTGAATATTTTTCTGAGCTGCAGCTGCTTGACTGAGGTTCTTGATTCTTGACACTGTTACAAAAGTGGATTTTTTTTCAATGGATCATACATTAATTGGGATGTCATCATGATCCTCAAAACTCTCTTTAACTGTTATTGATGCCGTACACCATTGATGTGATGCACATCTTATCTAGATTAAGTGGCGTGGGTAAATTCACACTCATTATAAAATATATAAAGGATCCCTCGGTCTTGGTAATTCTATTGATATTGATGATCTATACTAATCTATACTAATCGTTTCCCAGGTGCCGATGCCGGTGGTTCCAGTGTTCCCCACCAACACTCCCATCACTGACCGGCTGTGGATGGTGCAGAAGTACATGTCAGATCTACAGTATCCTTCTTCTGGGGGGAAAAATGTTAGGCTCTTTTGGTGCACCATTATTTTCTTGACAATCATCATCATCTTGACAATTAAACGTACATGTATATAGAATATATCACTTGTATTTTCCTCGTATTTCATTGCAAAGAGAATGCAATTCAGCCTTTAGTTGTCATTCCTTCATTCATTCACTCCCTCCTGGGGGAAAGTTTTTTTTTGGACTCTCTTGGTGCTCTATAGTGTTCTGTGACAATTAAATGTAATAAAACACTAGTAAAATAGAAGTGACATATTTAGACATTACATTTGATGTATATATTAAATACGTCACGTCTATTTTGCTAGTGTTTTATTGTACAGAGTATGCAATTCAGCTTTTACCTGTCATTCATTCCTTCATTCACTCCTTCCTTCATTCATCCTTTATTTGTACAACTCATTCATTCACTCCTTCATTCGTAAACTCATTCATTCACTCTTTCCTTCCTTCATTCATCAACTCATTCATTCACTCCTCCCTTCCTTCATTCAGGCATTCACTCATTCCTTCACTTAAGCTAAGACCCCTTGACTGTCCTACCAGATATAACCACACAGGAACACAGTTCTTTGAAATCAGGAAAAATCGGCCTCTCACTGGGTAAGTAAATCAATCTTAATGACATAGAATGTTTTAAAAAGCCAGACTGTGCTATGTAAATGTTGCATGGTTCTATTATAGCCTGACTAAATCGCGCTCCTGGCGGCCGCCGCCCTAGGTTGCCGCCCCCCAAAAAACCTCCAGCCGAGAGCTTGTGTATACACAGGCTAGGTTCTATTAGTGGCATGACAGTATCTGTGGCAGGCTATAGGCTATTTTGTTGCCTAACTGGATAACAATTACTATATATATATAATTAGGTTTATGTGTAACTCAGAGACTGTTTTGGCATTAGAGCTATCTACTATAGAATACTTAGTCTAGTATTCATTGACAAATGTGAAATTTCATGTTTGACCCCCCCCCCCACCCATCTCATGATCTTACTCCTCTTTTCTTCCAGTTTAATAGATTCTGCCAAGGAGATCATACGAGAAGCCTTACCCATCAAATGTCTGGAGGCGGTCATTTTGGGCATGTATCCTTCACAGGGGAAGGGTTTCAAGCTTTAAAAAGTTGAAGCCATTCGTATCAACAAAGCCAGTACTTATCCTGATCATTTGATGATGTTGAGAACATTAATTGTACATGTGACTTTGAGACTTATATTCGAATTACCAAGGGCCCACTGCTAGTCTAAGTCTGAATCCTGGAATTCACATACATGTACAATACTCAACACAATACTAATATTACAATGCCAACATACAACATAATCATAGTCACAACAACGCAATTAATTTAAAACAATCTGATTGCACATTTAAGTGCTACTGCTGGAAATGTTCATAAAGACCGTTCTGGAATGACCTTAAGGACCGTGTGGACTGCAAAACAAGTGGTAGGTTATTCCATGCTTTCACAGCTCTGTACGTGAAACACTTCTTCAAAGTTGGTCCTGGGGTTTTACATATAATATGTAGTCTTTAACCCCGCACCAGTCATCTGACCAACGGCATGCCCGGAGTCGAGCGGTTTCCCGTCAGCTTCAAGTCTCAGTTTGGTTCCACGGTGCACAGACACGTGGTTCTGGGGGTGTACTGTGGCGGCAGGTACGGGGCTCTGGGCATGAGCAGGAGAGAGGACCTCATGTACAAACCTCTGGAGTTTAAGGTAAGGTGCACAGACACGTGGTGCTAGAGTTTAAGGTAAGGTGCACAGACACGTGGTGCTGGGGGTGTACTGTGGCGGCAGGTATGGTGCTCTGGGCATGAGCAGGAGAGAGGACCTCATGTACAAACCACTGGAGTTTAAGGTAAGACTTCATGTACAAACCTCTGGAGTTTAAGGTAAGGTGCACAGACACGTGGTGCTAGAGTTTAAGGTAAGGTGCACAGACACGTGGTGCTAGAGTTTAAGGTAAGGTGCACAGACATGTGGTTCTGGGGGTGTACGTGTGGGGGGCAGGTATGGTGCTCTGGGCATGAGCAGGAGAGAGGACCTCATGTACAAACCACTGGAGTTTAAGGTAAGACTTCATGTACAAACCTCTAGAGTTTAAGGTAAGGTGCACAGACACGTGGTGCTAGAGTTTAAGGTAAGGTGCACAGACATGTGGTGCTGGGGGTGTACTGTGGCGGCAGGTACGGTGCTCTGGGGATGAGCAGGAGAGAGGATCTCATGTACAAACCTCTGGAGTTTAAGGTAAGGTGCACAGACACGTGGTGCTGGAGTTTAAGGTAAGGTGCACAGACACGTGGTGCTAGAGTTTAAGGTAAGGTGCACAGACACGTGGTGCTGGGGGTGTACTGTGGGGGCAGGTACGGGGCTCTGGGGATGAGCAGGAGAGAGGATCTCATGTACAAACCTCTGGAGTTTAAGGTAAGGTGCACAGACACGTGGTGCTAGAGTTTAAGGTGCACAGACACGTGGTGCTGGGGGTGTACTGTGGGGGCAGGTACGGGGCTCTGGGCATGAGCAGGAGAGAGGACCTCATGTACAAACCTCTGGAGTTTAAGGTAAGACTTTATGTACAAACCACAGGAGTTTAAGGTAAGGCCTTCCATGTCTACAGCTGCAGGTTTCTTATTCTTCTGTTACCCAAACATTCAGAGAGCTAGTTAAAATAGCCTGGTTAACAAACCTATTATAGCTCCCGAGTGCAACAGCCTCTCTGCAAAAGCTATTTATGGAGAGGCTGTAGGACTTGGCAGCTATAATATATGTAGGTTTGGTATTACCAGGCTATAGTTAAAATGAGGGTCTGTTATCCGTGAGGCATAGCGAGACATTTTAATTCAGCGTTAATTATGTTTACCAAAGGAAAACATATTGTTTTTGCTCCATTTCTTCTTCCTCTTCTTCTCCAAACACTAACCTCTGACTTGGCCAATGACCTGATTTGTTGATGTCTGTCACCATGGTAAACTGGTGTTGGGTTACATCATGTTGCAATTTTATAGGAGGGATTTAGACTCCTGTCTGACCATATATATGACTGTATTTGAGTGAGAATTAACAGAGCAGACCATATGCGAAGGTAAACATTTGCTTTGCTTTTACATCTGTAGTTCATAATGCATCACGTTTTCATGGCTGAAATCTGACCATCGTGTTTTCCTCTGTTCCAGTGTTTATCTGACTTAGTCCTTGATTATGAAGAATCCTACGAAGGATGTAAGTCCAACGTCTTGTTTCATTTCTTTTATAATGTTGCCTCAGTGTCTCGTGTACAGAAAAGCTCATGTATAAAAGTATAAAGCCATACAATTGATGGAGAAAAGTATCTTCCTGGTTTTGCTCCTCTCAAAATTAGACTATATGTTACTATGTAGGGGAGAGTAGAATTTGCTGAAAACTGTTTTTTTTTATGTTTCAGATTTTCATGTCCTGAAGAAGGTGAAGATAGGCTACCCCGTTTCCCACGATCCTCACAGCTACGAGTGCATCCACTGGAAGGTGAGGCGTTTTCCTGTGTCAACCAACAGAAACAGGCTGAATAAAAGTTCTAAACGGGAACTATGCAGCTCCAGATGTCTTACTGAGGGACGACTGCAGTGTAATAGATGTCGGTTAGCTTGAGGAATGAATCCACTTTACAGAAAGAATTAGTGACATTTTCTTATCACTGATACAACACTTATGGCTAGTGTCTGCCAGGTTTTAGGAGCTGCTGGAAAGAGTAAAATAGACAGTTAAGTTGGTTTGGGGGGGTATGTTGTCTATTTGACTAATTTCTACTCTTTCCAGCCACTTCTGAAGACTGGTAGAGGCTACCGGACTAATGCATATTTTACGGATATAAATAAATACGCCATGAAAGATTTTCGAAGGAAATTACAACTGGGAACATTGAAATATTGCATTTGCTTGGTTGTAATGATTGCTTATACCATACCGCTCCTGTCTGTCTGCAGGCTCTGACACTGAACATGACCAAGCTGTCCAAGGACGGGGTGAGGAAGGAGGTGGAGAAATATTCCAGAGAAGTGAGAGCAAAAGTGAGTACAACTGTTTTTCTTCCCTGGGACATGTATTTGACCGGTGCAATGGCCAAGTGGGTAGAGTGCTCTCCTTGCATTCGGTAGGTCGTGAGTTCGATCCCCGGCCGAGTCATACCAAAGACTATAAAAATGGTCCATACTGCTTTCTCTGCTTAGCACTCGAGCATTTGAGACGGAGTATGGGAGTTAAACACACACCACTACCAGTGGACTAGCCCCCTGCTGTAGTGACACAATGATGTGGCCCAAGGACTATAGAAATGCAATATGCCATATGCAACCATGCTAAAGGTTGCAGGGTGGATTTTTTTGAAACATGTATGGAAAACAGCACCGTAAATAGGAAGCAGTTGGTATCCTCTACCAGGCTTCAGAAGTGGCTGGAAGGAGTAGAAATTGGCCAAATCAACAGAGGACATGCCAGGGGAGTCAGTCTGCTAAAGCTTAAAGAGAGGCAAACTGTTCTCCTAAACCTAGCGAACCAACTCCCCTGCCATGTTATCTGTCTATTTGGCCAATTTCTTCTCCTTCAAACCACTTCTGAAGCCTGGTAGAGGCTTAGCAATTGGGGCAAAAATTCATATACATGTTCGTAATTTGTTTGGGTGCCATCTGATTTGCTGCAGACTCCTTAAACTAAACTGGATCAACTTTTTTTCAACCTGCAAGTGTAAGGAGCTAGTATTTAATGATACATTGTACTCTGTTCTGCTCCTATAGATGAAGACCAGTGGCCTGGTGTCAGAGAGACCTCCCCTCGTACCTCCTCCTACTTCTCCGCGTAAGGACACCCCGGGGAGACCCAACTGAACACCCATTCAGTGTTTTACCCCAATATGATGCAGACTGGGGGGTTGGTAGCCTGTACCTTTATATAATATACCTCTCCCGGGCTTTAGGAGGCGGCTGGGAAGGGTAGAAATTGGCCAAATAGACAGATAACATGCCAGGGGAGTTGGTTCGCTAGAGAGTAGTTTGCTGCAAACTGTATTCCAGACCAACTCCCCGGCATGTTATCTCTCTATTTGGCCAAATTCTACTCTTTCCAGCAACCTCCCGAAACTTGATAGAGGCTAGCCTTCTTTTTACTCTTTTATGCTCAGGTTGCATGTAAAGACAATCACTTGTACATATTCTTATGTAAAAATGAGTTTATTTCTGTCTGTCTGTTTCAAATAAAGTGAAATTATTTATACATGGATCTCCAACTTTTCTGTATTTCATTTTGAGATACATTTGTAAAACAAATACATAAATTACTACATGTAACTTAAAAAGACTGGACAACCATGTAGCTGGCACTGAACAGTAGAGCTGAATAGTGTGGGAAAACTATCAATGAGAATTCTGAACCATCAAAATCTTTGGTCCCAACTTACACCAATTAAATTTGGGTACAATATTTTCATTTTCTTTCTTGGGGGTTTGAACAAAAATAACTCTGAGAACAATTTATGTACTCTATAACTGAACACTCTTGTAATGTGTGAATTTATCTCAGAAAAAATTTGACATGTTGCATTAGGCCACACCAATTTAATTTGTTGGTTCTCGGATTCGCCTCTTCGTTTTTTTCTGATTTGCAAAAAAAAAAAAAATTTGATTCTGGTCCTGAATGAACTGAAAAATGCTCATGTTTTGCCCCCAACAGTTGAGGAAGTCCTTTTCTTCCTAGTTGTTACAGTT